GTACGGTAACAACTACATTGGAGTTTGGTCTAGTTAGAATAAAATATAAATGTTCCTTAGGCATTTAGAATGAACATATTGCATTATGTTACAAACACATTAATTTTAAAAAATAAAAATACCAATATTCGACAAAATAGAGAAAAAGCGACCCAATAGAATATTTTGGATTTAGGAGTAAAGCTTTCAACTTTGATCTACAGGAAAAATGATATTGAGGCGTTGCAAATTCTAAACAGTTCGTACTGCAAGGTAACGATCTATGGTTTCTCCAGGAGTGTAGAGATTGAGATACCGAAGAAGATACGTCAGAAGTATTGTGAATTTTTTTTATTGTGGATGCTTCACCTTCATATTCATATTCTTTCATGTTATAACTCCTTACTATTAAAGGGTCATTCCTTATCATTAAAAGGTTATTCATGATTCCACTAAGGGTTATTCAAGGGCTCATTAAGGTGCCATTCATTCTCTCATTTAGTTCTATTCAATAACTAATGTAACTTCCACATGTCCTTAAATGAAAGAGTATATGGTTAAATAAGAAACTATCTCTTTCGTTTGTTATCTTACTACTTTTTCTTTTATTTTATAATACATGATTAGCACAATTGTCTCCACCATTTAATTTGTTGCAAGCTCTTAAGGTAATTCTTTGTTTTTTAATTTCAATCTGATTTCAATATCTAACAAAATTTTATAGCCACAATGTCAAACTTGACAAAATTTAAATTTGCCGCCCTTGATATAATGGCTTCAAATTATTTGTCATGGATACTTAACACTAAAATCCATTTGGCGGTAAATAATCTTGGTGAAACAATTGTTAAAGGAAATCAAGCATCCTTACAAGATTGCACTAAAGAACTAGTGTTCTTTCACCGTCACCTGCATGAGGGATTGAAGGTTGAATATTTGATCATCAAAGATCCATTTGAATTATGGCAGAATTTGAAAAAAAAAATGATCGCCAAAAATGGGTGATATTGCAAAAGCTCATTATGAATGGATGCATCTGCAATTGCAAGATGTTAAATCTGTTAGCGAGTACAACTCTAATATTCTACATTTCATCTTAATTAAAATTATGCGGTGAAAAAATTATTGATGAAAACATGTTGGAGAAGAAATTCTCCATTTTTCATGCCTCAAATTTGCTTCTTTAGCAACAATATCGAGAGTATGACTTTAAAATATATTCAGATTTGATATTATGTCTTTTTATTGCTGAACAAAATAATGAACTTTTGATGAAAAATCATCTGTCACGACCTACTAGTTTAGCCCCATTACCTAAGGCAAATGCAACTTCATATAATAATAATAAACGTGGTTGCGACTGTTGCCACGGTTGTAATTATGGCAATAACCATGGCCGAGGGCATGCTCATGGTCAAAATAATACTTAACATCGTAGTGGTTTTAACCCCAGATATAAATTTGCTAAACAAAAGAATGTAAGGAGAAAAATTTACAAAAGAACCCTGCAAAAGATTTTGAAATGTTTTGTTATCGATGTGGAGCAAAAGGACATTAGGAGCGTGCCTGTCACACTGCTAGGCATTTGGTTGATCTTTACCAAGCCCTCAGTTAATGAAAAGGGAAAAGGAAAAGATCCAAAGATGAATGTCATTAAGGATGACAATATGGATCTTGATACACACCTTGATATTGTAGATTTTTTTGAGGGTGTTAAAAAGTTTAAAGGTGTTGATGATACCCAAATAAGAGTTTGACTTATTATGTCCTCTTAAATAATTTGCCCTAAGTGGCTATTTCCCTTTATTATATGTAATGTCCTTTTTATATTCAATAAAAGAAAAAATCATTTCAGAATGTATATATATATTGAATGTTTGTCTTTTCTATTTCATTTGTTTTTATTTAAGACCAAATGGACTTAGATGATGTTAAGATCAATGATGGAAACCTATGCCTTCTTGACAATGGCACAACACATACCATATTGAAAAATAAGACTTATTTTTCTCAATTAAAGTTAGTTGAGGCTAATGTTCATACAATATTTGGTGTGACAAAGTTGATTGAAGGCTTTGGAAAAAAACTTGCCTTTTATTGCCTAGAGGAATAAAATTATTAATACACAATATTCTATATTCTAGTAGATCAAATCAAAATCTACTAAGTTTAAAGAATATACATTGTAATGGTTTTCATATTGAAACCATGGATGAAAATAGAATAGAATTCCTCCATGTCACAACTTTTGTATTTGGAAAAAAAAATATTGGAGAAAATGTTAACCTTTTCTTCTAAATTGTGTTATACATATATACATCCAATAAAATCTAATATTGTGACTAATCAAAAAATAATTAATCCAGAAGCATTTATCCTTTGGCATAATTGACTTAGTCATCAAGGTGCTATTATGATGTGGAGAATTATAAAAAAAAAAAAAAAATCACATGAACACCTATTAAAGAACTTGAAAGTTTTATTATCAAGTAATTTTTCATATGTTGCCTACTCCCTTGGTAAATTAATTACTAGGCCTATTGCAACTAAAATAGAAAATGAATCTCCTCCATTTTTGGAATGGATTCAAGGAGATATTTGTAGACCTATAAATCTGCCATTTGGACCATTTTGATATTTTATGGTGTTGATAGATGCTTTGACAAGATGGTCACATGTTTGCTTATTATCTACACACAATGTTACGTTTGTAAGGCTTCTTGCACAAATTATAAAATTGAGGGCATTATTTCCTAATTATACAATAAAAAGGATCCAACTTGATAATGCAAGAGAATTTACATCTCAATTATTTAATGATTATTGTATATCAATTGGGATTACTGTTGAGCATCTAGTTCCTCATATACATACACAAAATAGTCTAGTTGAATCTCTTATTAAATGTTTGCAATTAATTGGAAGATCACTGCTTATGAGATCAAAGTTACCTTTTTTTGCTTGGAGTCATGCTATATTGCATGCTACAACATTAATTTGATTAAAGTCAAGTACTTATCATAAACATTCACCACTATAGCTTGTTTTTGGAACTAAACCAAATATATCTCATTTAAAGATTTTTGGTTGTGCTGTATATGTTCCTATTGCTCCTACATAGCACCCTAAAATGGGTCCCCAAAAAAAGTTGGGCATTTATGTTGGTTTTGAATCACCATCAATAATTACATGTCTTAAACCAATGACTGGTGATCTTTTCACAGCATATTTGTTGATTGTTATTTTGATGAAAACTTATTCTTAACATTAGGGGGAGAGGAACAAAAATTGAAAAAATAGGAATTAACTTGGGATACATTATCTATATCTCATTTAGACCCCTAAATAGGTCAAAATGAACTAGAAGTTTAGAAAATTATTCATTTGCAAAAGATTGCAAATCAATTGCCTACTGCATTCATAGAGGCAAAGAAAGTAAGTAGTTAACATGTCCCAGCTTTGAATGCTCTTGCTCCAATTAATATTCCTATTGAAATAGGTGTTAAGACAGTAGCAAATAAATCTACTATACGCTAGCAATGTGGTAGACCTACTGGTTCCAAAGATAAAAATATAAGAATGAAGAGATAGCAAAATGTTGGCTCCACCGAAATTGTATAGACTCAAGAATTATCTAAACAATAGCCAAAAAAATGCCTCTAAAAAAGTAATCCTAGAAAGGGTTCAAGTACTTAAAAATGATGAAGATGCAGAAATTATATATAATGATGAAATTATATATAATGATGAAATTTCAATAAATTATATTTTCATTGGGATAAAGTGGAATCGGAATGATGTTGTCATTGACGATGTTTTTGCATTTGCAATATCAAATGATATAATCAATGAAAATGGGGATCTTGAACTAAAATCCATTGAAGAATTTTGACAAAGAAGTGATTGACCAAAATGAAAAGATACGATTTAGGCAGAATTAAAGTCATTAGAAAAACGCCAAGTTTTTATACCAATTGTCCAAACACCCAATAAGGTAAAGCCTGTTGATTGTAAACGGATGTTTGTGAGAAAACAAAATGAGAAAAATGAGGTTGTGAGATATAAAGCCAAACTTGTAGCTCAAGGCTTTACATAAATACCTAGCATTGATTATGCGGAAATATATTCTTTTATGATGGATACAATGAC